TATTTAAAAGTCAGCAAGTCACAGTGAACCTGCTGGGCGATTTCCAGTGCAACATGCACCTATTCAATCTATATTTCATGTTCATGAATGAATGAAGGACTGGCTTTTCTTTATATAGCATCTTCCTTATGGGAGGGGGACTTTGTAATGACTAAATGAAGATGTAAAGTAAGAAGTAACAACACAAATGAGGTAACTGCTAAAAAAAAAAAAAAGCTAATGGAAGCACTCAGTGATTTCTAATTTCTGTAAACTTTTTAACCTTTATTGAACCATACAAACATTGACAAAAAAACATGGACCGTCCTAGGGGAACAATCCGAGCAGATATCCAAAGTAATAAAAACTGCTAGCATGTTCGAGGGGCTGATTAAAATATATACACCAGTGTTTCCCACAGATATGAAATATACTTGGGCAGGTGGTGGCAAGGGGGGGGGGGGGTGCGCGAAAAAAAAAAAAGTTTTTAACAACATTATTTATTGACTTTTCATTCCGGTATAATCATTTTGCGCAAAGATGGCACTGTTTGTCAGAGCACTTCATCCTTCTGGGATTTCATGAAGAACAGCTCCAACGCCTGTGTGTATGGGAATGCCTCTGGTGCTGGTCCATTAACTGCCAGTGTTTCCCACAGATCTGAAATATACTTTGGGGGGTGGTGGTAGCGGGGGGGGGGGGTTGAGGTGACGTGCAACAACATTAACCTTTCTGTTGGTCGCTTGTTAGCAGACCCTTCACGCGATGGCAGAGCGAACAGGTACAGGCAGGGTCCATAATGATAGCCCTATAGTTTAAATCTACTACCCACACATGAACATATGGAAATGGGTTACTATTTAAAAAAATAAATGTATTTATTAATGTATTTAGGAACCTATCCATGTGATTTTTAGTGGGGGTGGACCTCAAATCCTCTAGGGGGGTCCAGGGGCATGCCCCCCCCGGTAAGATTTTATTTTTTATTTTGGAGTTAAATGCATCAATCTGGTGCATTTTGAGGGGAAAATAAAGAGACTAGATCTATGGAAACACCTATATTTAACAGAACTGTATACATTTCAATAATCATAAAATCATGGCCATAACCAATAACATACCATTTCCAATATGAAAAAAACACTGAAACTTGTTAATTTATTTTTGGTTCATTTATAGTTGTGTGTGTCTGTGCTCCTGAATCAGCCTCTCCTGTCTCCCTCCTCTCCCCCCTGCTCCTCTTTGAGGCAGCAGCAAAGACTAGTTTTCTCTCAACAAGTTTTAAAAGTGTATCTTACCTTTTTCACCTAGTTAACTTTTTATTTATTTATTCATGCATATTTTACTAATCACATTACATTTCATTTAGCTGACGCTTTTATCCAAAGCGACTTATAATGACCGATTACAGGGACATTCTCCCTGGAGTAACTAAGGGCTAAGTGCCTTACTCAAGGGCACACTAGTGGTGGTGTTCCTGGCGGGATTTGAACTCACAGCCTTCCGATCTTCAGCCCACCTCACTCTCCATTAGACCAATCACTACCCTCTCAAATGGAAATATGTGTTTACATAAATGGTGACCACACCGTTTGAGACCCACTGAGAACTTAGACTAAGTTAACTATCTAAACACTCAGAGAGTCCTTTACCTCACCTGAGCTGAGGTTATCCCGAGCTTGAATGACACACAGAGACCAATCAAGGGCTTTGATTTATGATCTGTATGACAGTGGCCATGTCGGCAGGCCACATCATGTGGACAGCCAGTCACCCTGTGTGAGGCAGGCCACTTAACAGGCCAGAAGGAGGCGAGATCAGAGCAAGGGAGCGAGGGATCATTGTCTACAAGTTAATCGATCGCAGATGGCGTCGTGGTCACGGACGAATAAAAAAAAAAAAACATTAAAAAAATGTTATAAAAAAAAAAAAAAAAAAAACTAAATGGGTCGCGAAATATACTTGGGCGGCCGTTAATATACCTGGGCGGCCCGCCCAAGTATAGTCTATGTGTGGGAAACCCTGTACACTGTATATATATATATACGTTGAGAGAACCAGAACTCAGCCCCAAACTACATTTCAAGCCAGGACTGGGATCCACCGGGGGCACATAGTTCTGACCCAATGAAGACCTCCCACCACACTGAGACAAAACATGTCCACATCCAGTAATAAACACAATAGGACAATAGAGGCAATGTAGCTTACGTCTTTGAATGCCCTATCTTTACCACCATGAGACTTGTACCTGTTCTCACATGCCCCTCAATGGAGACGGATTTGGACAAAGTATAGGCAAAATACTTAAAAAACATATAGTAGGTTTTTAATCCGTTTCTGATTTTAAAATTCAGAGCTATTCGTAAAAGTTTGGCAGGGTTGTCGGACGTTAATGAGTCAAGTACTGTAAGTTGCACATTTAAGGCACAAAATAGTGAACCTGGATACTTCAGAGTAAAAGAAAGGTTGAATTTCCGTGAAAATGTTTTGCAAGGGAGCCAAAGAACTGGGAAGCTGTAAGTAAATCATTTGAATAGAGCCACCAATTGCTCCCTAACCCTAATAACGATATTGAGGTATTTGGTCAAAAGTATTGTGATGTTTAATTTGTTCAATATCGTCCAGCTCTGGTGTGAGGGCGCACACTCTCAAACATGATCGTCCACATAGCCTTTGATGGAAGAGACTATTCATGATCTGCATCTAGAGACTTTATATAAGTCACATTGTAACAAAGTTCATTCAATGATTAATTAGTTAAAAATATATAATACATAATATGAATATGTAATTCAATACAGCATGTAGAAAAATACATTGATGTCAGGAATCAGGATACATCTTTTACTGGTCTGGTGATAGGAAAATAACAGCCCTTTTTCTATATGATCCCACCTATTTCCCAGGCCAAATTAACTCTTCAAGAAAACCACAGCGTGTTTGTTTTGCTTTACTTACTAAAAGGGTTTCACGCCTTGCCTCTTGTAGTGGGTTATCAGAGAACACATCATGGCTCAGATATCTTTTGAAAGAAAATGTGAAAGTGGTGGAAATTGATCTAGTCACTGTGTGCAGAATTAAATTGGTTATTGTTTTCTTATTTGGTCTTGCCCTTCTTTAGCTTTTGTATGATTGGACCAGCAAACTCACTGAGCTCAGAGAATAAACTCAGTGTTTCTGTCCTTTATGACCATTATTATAACACTTCAAAACAAAAGATTGTCATGGGGTGAAGTTTTAAAACAATGGTTCTCATTTTATTAATAGTAATTGGGTAATCGACCTTAGTTCGAATTGTTCTTTTTGTTATTTTCTTCTATATTTTTGCTATTTGTGTTTATGTAGAGTTGCTCATGTGGTCAGTTATATTCCCTGTTAAACCCTAATTAGATAACCTTTTCACCAGGATATAAAGGGCTTTACCTATTCTACTTGTCTTTGCAGTCTGCAAGCTTTATTTGGGTGTTTGTGCATGGCATCACATTTTGGAACTACATAATGTAGCAGATAGCTTACACACCTTCCGGCGCAGACTGAAAACTCATCTCTTTCGACTCCACTTCGAGCGATAGAACTATTAACAAAGCACTTATATACTAATAAAGGACTGGCTTATTCTAAAGCCAGCTGAGTAGCACTTGAAATGTTTTTGGCTCTATGAAGCCCTGATGTACTTATATGATTCTGTTTTCTTCAAGTTTGTATTTTGTTGGTCGAACGTACTTATTGTAAGTCGCTTTGGATAAAAGCGTCAGCTAAATGTAATGTAATGTAATGAGTGGGGGGTTTTAGAGTTGATACTACAATAGAAACTACCCAAGCTCCATGTTCAACCATCTCTCAAAACCACCACTGAACCAACAATCTACTTTTTACTACTGCATCAAACACATTTTTAACCAGGAGATTCCCACATTATCAACATAGTATCCCATACAAGCATGTACAAATGCATCAGTCTAATGTTACTGTACACTGCCCTGCATATTAGTCACTCACAAATATGTGGTTGAACTATTGAATCTTCATATTACCCAAAGGATTTGTTTCCACTCTACAATGCACATTTGCACACATGGCCATAATGAATCAGGAAGACGGTAGCATTTCCTCTCGGTGGAATTCAGTTTCACTCTCAAAGGCTTAAAACCAGTTCACCATAAATTAAGCTAGAGAAAGCAAGATCAAAAAGAGGAAATTGTAATAAAACTCTAAACTCAAAATATGAGTGGGCAATGAAAATAACGGTTACATACTACATTATAGAATACATGCTTGCTTACTATGGATAAATGCTTCATGGACCACTGATCATTAGATCTTATGAATGATGATTGAGGATTTCTGCCAGAAAACAGATGTTGGAGTTTTCTCATATCAGGCCTTAATTATGTACAGTAGCACAAAAGATGATGGCATATGCTACTGTAGTAGTGATACACGCCAAGGATGATTCATTTGAAATACACTCATAACCTTTACCCTAGATATTCGTTAAAACACTAATATTTGTACAACTTTTTTTTACTTGACATTTCATTTCTGAATAGTTTTGTATTCAGACCATATAACAACCTAAAAGGGCTTCATGTAGGGGTCAGGGTTGAGGTCATTTAAATTAAGATCTGTAACAATATTGTATAATATTGTATTCTATTCAGGATTCCCGAATTAACCGGAAAGGTTCAATGAGCCACTGTTCCCACCAACTCTCTGCAAAGATCAATAGCATTCCTGGCTATGCTATGTCACAAAGGCACACCCAGATCCAACTCCTAAATCATAAATCATTCATCACCGTCAGGTTCAGGGAATAGAAGCAGTCAGAGAGGAAGGCAGATTGCTGACCTTTCTCTGCTGGGTAGAGATAAAGTAGTCGCAAAAATCAGTGTGTTTTAGTGCAATTTCCAACGTTCTAGTCAAAGTATTTTGTATTGCTGGACTATATCAATGTCATTACCTCTTACCCTCATTCTGATTGTGTCTCTAACTCTTTATTTTGTTCTCAACTTCCTCAGAATATGACTTGAAGATGAGCTGTCCTCAGGCTGAGTTAGAGGAGAAGGACTGCCCTCAACCAGAGGAATTAGAGTGTAAAATCTGTTACCAACGCTACAATGCCCACAACCGCAAGCCTAAGATCCTGGACTGCCTTCACCGGGTCTGTGCCCGCTGCCTCGGTAAAATCCTGGACATTGCTGATGGGGCGGCCTTCATCTCATGCCCCTTTTGCCGACACCAAACTGAGATCACAGAATACGAGGTGTCAGCCCTCCCTGACGATGTTATCATCATGTCCCACTTGGCGATGCGGGACAAATCCTGGAGCTCCGACCATAAGGAGGTGGTCTTGACTCCTACGAGTTTCTCCTCATCAAGCCCGTCCCATGACTCATCAAACTGCCTGGTCATCACTATAATGGAAGTGCAGAGGGACTTGCAGCACTCCCCAAGTCGAAATGGCAGCTCCGACGTCTATGCCGAGCAGAGCCTGGACTCCGTATCAATGGGCTCCAATGGACTGGCTGAACAGGACGCCCTGTCCAAGTTGTGTAATCATGTCCCACGTATCCTGGTCTGGCTGCTGGGTTTCTTATACTTTGGCTCACTGCCTCTAGGAATCTATTTATTGGTGATCCAGAGAGTGACCCTGGGCATTGTATGTGTTAGCCTGGTGCCATCAAGCCTGACAGTTTGTCTGGTCTATGGGTTCTGCCAGTGTCTGTGCCAGGGCATGTGTGACTGCTCCACCAGGGGCTGATAGGATGCTACTCAAGAACTGGTGTTTGTAGGATGGAATAATGTCAGCTCCAGGTATTTTGTGTGTTTTGTGAACAGATAGGGGGCCTTTATGTAAATATGATGCCCTTTCCTAAACATACTTGTCATGCCTAACAGTACATTTTGTTCATGCAAATAATGGGCCAGTAAAGAGACCCAATGCTGCCTTTAGCATTCGTGCTTTTGTTTGTTAGTTGAGCACTGCAACTTAAAAACAGTTTGGCAAACAGGAACATAGCTCCTTGCAAGCTGTGTTCGTACATAGGAGTAGTGCCTGTAGGTAGATTTCTGTGATGTATTTCTGTAATCTTTATTTGTTTTGTGCTGTGTGTATTAGTCAAACATTACGTTTGAGAGCAGACCTTTAACCTTTGACTCGCAGAAGTCCTGGGCCTTCATTTATCAACATTGAATCAAAGGAATTCTTAAAAGTTTTCCTTTTAAAATAATACGTGGGATAAGATTTGACGGACAGAATACTTCATTGTGATCAGTTAATTTAAACTATATTTAAGCAAGGTAGGGAGGAAAAAACAAAGTCCACTTAAAATATTGCACATATAATATTTTGTATTGTTCACTTTTATTTCTAATTTAGCATTAAAGGTAGAACTACAGGTTACCAAATGTCTTCTCTCTGTTAAAGCTAAATGTAACTAAAAGTTGAAAGTATGTCATATTGTGATACCTTGCCATCAGCTTCTAGAAATGTAGAAAAAGCATTGGTACACTGATATCTTGAGGGTTTAAAGGTATCAGTCTGTTGAACCTGTTGATATAACTCTGCATCCTCTCTATTTTCTGGTTTGGGGATATGTAATAAACAAGTCATGAATTAGCATTCGCAAGAATAGCGACTTTCTAAATTCTGTGTGATATTACAAGTAATACTACAGGAAGAGACTAAGCATTGTACCGGATTAGCAAGGAAAACAATTCGACCTATATGCAATAAGGCCTTGATACAAATGAACAAATCAAATGAATTGGCTGTAATGTTTTGTTGGTACATGTTTTGCTGCCACAGCATTGCCTTTGGGCTAACATATCACATAGTTGTTAGCATTGGTAATTGAATGTGGCCCATTTATTTTCTCTCTCTGCCACAAATACAGATTCACACCATTCAGGGTTGTTATGTTGATATGTGGTTCTTGTGAGGCATAAACCAGACTCATATCTCAGGTGTTTTGATACTCATTCAATGTTAAGCAACACACTTTCCATTCATTTCCTTGATAGGTTGAATGTTAAAAAAGTATTTTTCTGTTATATTTTGCGGTACAGGTTGTACAAATCTTTGGTTGGGCTTATGGCTAAGGAGTCCTCTGTTACCGTTATGCAGTAAGTCAAATGCACATAGTGCCATACTAAAGCCATGTGGATTTGTTGTTGTTTGACACCTCAAGGTTGTGTGCATTATTTATGTGGCATCTTGGTTTTCTTTAGCTTGTAAGACAAACACTGTCAAACAATCATTCTGGCATCTGGACGTCTGGTAGAAAGGTCACATCAAACCATGATGTTAGCTTGACAATTACTAAAAATACATTTTAAACGTAACCTAAAATGTTTAGCTACATTTTTCACATGTATAAAGTCAAATAAACTGCAATTTCTTTCAATTAATCGGGTTAATCTTCAAGCTTCTCATGTGTGTAACAAAACGTTTTTCTTATAGCTCTGAAACCAAAACAAACATTTGAGTGTTTCAGGAATTTGTGTTGTAAGACGTCATGAACTGCTGCAGTTGTACCACTCTTTGTGACATCTGCAGCACTACTTCAAAGAAAGGATTCAACTATAAATTGAGTGTTTCAAAATGAACAGTTAGTAAAACATTATGTCCATGAACATGGTGGTTTGGAATCTTTGGTTTTATTCATTTGGGGTTGTTTGGACCAGTTACGCACATTAAACAATTACCGACTATCTTCACTCACAATTAAGAACCTTTTCTGTGCGGTGTAGATAATCGAGGGCCCTTGGATAATAGTCTTAGATATGCTAAATTATAAACTTCAGGTAACGATATTCACATCAAAATGGATATGTAGCAATTGCTGATGTTAGGGTTCTGTATATTATTATCTTACCCTTTCTCTGTCAACTTCTTTCTGCCGCTATATTCTCTACCCATCTCTGTACCCACCCCTCTATGTTTTTCTGTGTTTGTGTCAATGATCTACTGTCAGCTTTCAGCTTAGTGCCACACTACTGATCACAGAAGCTACCAGACAGTGAAATAAATGGAGCATTATTTTCTATATGTGGCCTGTGTACTTCTTTTTGTGTCTGCTGCCTGCTCATTCAGTACGTAACAGTCAATATTTCTGTCATCGCAGCATTCATCACCAAGCTCAACGAGACAGGACGCTGTTGTTATACTTCATGCCAATAAAATCACAAAGGTGCAGGCTAATTTGTCATTTCTAAAGTATTTTTCCCAATATTTAACAACATTCTTGTAACAGTGACAAGATTAATGACATGGAGGTCTGGCTGGCTTCACAACATTACTCCCAAAACAGAGACAATAAAATGATCGTTTCTTTCTCAATGAATGATGGTAACTCAGCATGATTGTATGTAAGTGGACGAAGATAAATCAGCCTTTCATTTTTTTAAGCGCTATTATGGTCGACAATGGTTAGGCACAAAAAGTATGGGGACAAGTGAATATAGTATAGTTCAACCAGTTTGAGACAGACCTACTAAGTAGTGACAGAAAACAAAGAAATGATAGATGACAGAACACAGCAGCAGATCATGCAGAAAGAGAATTTCTTTTTCTGCATGAGTTGGCAGAGCTGTACTGTAGGACAGAGTGCTTCTGAGGGTAGCGTTTGCCCTGTTGGTTATACAGTCAGACATCTACAAGACCCTGCTTTCATCCTCCCGTGCTGACTGGCAGGTTACATTAACAAATACAAACTCTCCTCCCCATCATCTATAAAAAGATTGGTTCAAATAAAAGACGACCCTGACTCGTGAGTATGTGAGACCCTGGGCATTGTATTTGTTATTTGGACATGCAAAACGGTCAGCACCGGTTTGGGTGTTATTAGAAAATATCACAGGTCAAAAAGGGACAAAGTAGAGTACCAAGTAAGTCATTAATAACTTACTGATACATTGCGTGCATTTGTCCACCTTCCTTCTCTTTCCCTGTGTCTCAAATACAGCACACATACTGTAGCGCATGAGTTTGCTTGTGATTGTCCTTGTCTTAGATCTGTGATATTATACTGTATAAAGTTGGCTGTTTGCAGGTCGGGTCAAAGCCCAAAGTAAGCAGGGCATTAATGCAAATCTTTGCAATGGCCAAACATTTTCATTTCATTGGGTCCAAAAATAAAAATAAATTCAATTGACTTGCAGATAGAAAGATAGAAAGATAGAAAAGATACGTCTGTAAATCAGCATGTATCTTGTACCGGATCAACTTCATAAGGGTTTAAGGAAAATACAAATCTAACGGCCCCAGGAGATCTGGGCTTTTTTGTCTCAAGAGTCTGGTCATTTTGGCTTCATACGCCACGGAGCAACTTACATTGGAATAACAGGCGCCCCACCCCTAAAGCTGTATATAGTTTTCTTTCTACATCCATGGTAGGTTGGTCTGATCAGTTGATTAGCATGTTTTTGTGGTTTGGGCATTGCGGATATGCTGTCATAACTGGTCGGGTGAGTAAGGGAATAAAACACGCTGGCCCATCTTTCACTACTGTCCTGATTACTCGGCAGTAACTCCGGACCTCAATGTCATCAGTGTACATAGCAATTATTTTTCTCTTTATAAAATGGTACTTATAACACAACGTGTATTGTTGTGAAATGTAGTAAGTGAAAGGCAATAGATGATAATGAATACATAACAGTGTACTCACTTCCTTGTTTACAGATTTCGATCAGTAGCTGAGAAAATTTGCCAAACTGATCTGATGAGTTAAGTGGAAGAAACATTCACTTCTTTCTATTCAAGATGAGGTATGAGAATACACCTTGACAGAGGGATCAAATATCCATGTGATCATATGATTTGGGGTAATCACTGTTATATAAAGGGTCTTGGAAATGTTCTTTTTGAATAGTAAGTCTCTCTACACTGACGTCAAGCAGTATGGGTCACACAAACCTGTTGCTATATTTATACATGCATTCACTAAAAATGTAGCATTTTTAGGTGATTCAAGCAGACGGAGGAGCATGAATTTTAATTACACATGAATAATGTAGTCTCAATCTGCTTTCTCTTTATAGCGCATTCATTCATAGATCAAGGCAGACTGGTTTACTCTCCTGTTTTGCCAATCCGGTGCTTAAACAAATAGCTCTACACCCCTGGCCGACATATCCTTAAAATGAAGTCCGAGTTTGAAATATATCTCAAATAATGTATGCACTGCCATTTCCCCACATAAACATAACAGTCTGCAATGAAATGGTTGTCTCCTGTGCGCTCCTCTTCCTACTTGGCGCACCGGTAACTTTCTCGTGCGCACGAGAGGCTGAGACCCTGAGCCGCCGAATCCCTCGGAACATCATAAAAGCCATTTTCAACGTTTTCTGGTGAAAGTTTAACTAGTAAAGGTGCGAAAAATTGAAAAAAACATTATGATAACATATTTTTATATATTTATAATTCTGCAAATATTACGATAAACTCACTGCTATTTCGCGGCCCGGCAGTAACACCTCCCGGGGGTTGGGAACCCCTGGACTAGTGGACTCTTGGACCTGGGGTACATTTATTTATGTTCACAATGTCAGAAAAACTGTATTTTTCTACCTTTCCTTCTGACATAATTCACTTTCAAAATTTGATGTGGCGTATTTGAATATTTTGCTAGAAGATAGAAGTGTGGGCTTGAGTTGTTGAAATTAAATAAATGATTCTCTCTCTACTAGCTTGTTTAAAGTGAAGCTTTAGAAAGTTGCAAGTAAGATCAAATAAGGGAAGCTAGAAATACAGAAAAATATATAAAAAATGTAGTAGGAGCAACAGCAACAGGCAAAATGCACATTCGGCGCATGCACTCTATATGCTTTTTTAACTAATCTTGATTATGGTGATGAGCAATAGAAATACAACATTCCGGGTTTTCGCATCTTGGATTGTGCATTTTTCAAATGTTCTTGTAATGTAAATCATAAACTTCAGAATTGTGAATGGTTTTGATATTTAATGAAGGTACCATAAAGCAGCATACAACAGGCATTGTAACTGTGCATTGTGTGACTGCCGGTGAGGCCCAGTCCATTAGCAAAGACATGAGGACACACTGCAACCTTGTTATAAGAGCTGATACCATGATGTCTTCTGATCTCAAGCAGAAACAGTGAAACAACCAATATTATCTGATTTCACATTACCAAAATGAGATGACTTCCTGCTATTCTTTCTCATGTTTGATTGTAAACTAAATATTATGGAAGTATTTGGAATGTTGGTTAAAAGAAATTGAGGTTTTATAAACTGAACAACAATAATCGATTTGAAACATTACTGGCAGATTGATCTATAATGAAAATAATTGGCAGTAGCTACAGCCCTAACTGTTTTCATTGCTGGTGTTTTCTAACATTGAACAGGCTGAATGTGTTTCTGGGTTAAAGATGTGAAAAGGAAGTCCTTAAAAGTCAATGAGCTCATCTTGAGAGAATTTGAGAGACCCAAGTGTTCATTAATCGGTGCTTTCTGAGAGGTGCAGAGCGACAGTGGAAGTGAAATGGGCTGATCAATAAGGAATAGATTGGAGAGTTATCGTGGGCAAAATAAGCTTCAGGTAAAATGCTGTGTTCAATGCGGTCGCTTCACATTTAGGGCATCATTTAGTGGCACAGAAACAAACAGAACTTCTCAAATTACAGTGGCGCTAATTGTGGTGTGAAAGTGACATTTAAAAAGGAACTTACTTTGACTTCTTCCTGTAGTTTCCCGAATCGAACGGTGCCTTTTAGAATCCTGCTGACGAATCCCTGTTTTTCCTGCTGAAGAAGCGAAGCCTGTGGAGGTAGAGAGGGAAGACGGGGGGTTACTGATCTAAGAGAGATACACGGGGGACGATGAAGGATGTGAGGGATTAGGGGGAAAGGTGGATAAAGGAAAAGAAGACCATTCAAACTATTGCCATATTACAGTATTACATTTGGTACCATTGCTAGCTAAAACATTTTTTTGTTGCTAAAGCCGTTATCCAGAGCAACTTACATACACTTCAATAGAGTGGTGATGGAATGACGTACTTTTGTAGGCCGACCTGGAAGTTAGCATGGCAAGAGTTCTCTTGACTAAAAGCAATGGGAATCTTATAGTGGATTTTGGAATATTGCAGAAAATATGATCTGTGGCAAACTAACCATTTATTGAAGCGTCAATGCAATCGCTAGATGTAGAAAACTATGTCGGTAACAGAACTTATCCAACGCATCTAACTCAAAACGGGAAATACAAGTACTAAAATGCTGACTCATTTCCAGGCTTATTCCTAAACTGTAGACATGCCTATGGGAGCAATTTATAGTTAAATATCTTGCCCAAGGATACATTGACATGCCGACTGTAGGATAGGGGATTCAACCACTGACCCTCTGATTGTCAGATCAAAGCATTTACCCCCAGAGCCAAAGCCCCTCCAGTCTGGAACATTAGGTGTGCAGACAAGACAAAAGAAAGATACCTCAATGGTGAATGGTGCACAGATTGTGCCCTTATAAAATAAATTGGTTCAGTAGAGAGCTAGCTTTATCCAATACATTTTATTTTTGACATTTATTGATAGTTAGCCTTAGTATTGATGGATTATTAGCAGGATTGTTTAAGGCAAAGCCTAAATCAAAAAGAAACAGGTTTTTTGTATTGCGCCTACAAGATGATGAGCTAAGTGTCTTTAATATTACCATAAATACAATTATCCTTGAGGTCACTGCAATTGCGATTAAATTGATCGGCCGATCATCTTTTGATCTGCCCATAAAAACCTCTCTACTGCTCTACTGACAACACAGCAGATAGCCGATCATAAGAGTACCTTCACTGACAGCAGGCATGCACACACACACACACACACACACACCGTTCTCTCTCTTCCTGATGAATCGGCTCTTGTAAGCTTTAGACGTGCTACCTCTCAAATGGAGTCAGTCTGACCTTCCACACAAGATGGGCTCTTGTTTATTCCCTGAAAAGCCAGCTTTGGCAAACTCCCTGAATCTATTAACATTGACCGGAAACACTCTCTCTGGTCCCCCTGACACCCACTGAGCAAAGACATACTTTACAGTTCTATTTGGTTTCACATTACCTTTATTGCTGTTCAACCAACATTGCAGATCACCTCTTCTACCATGTTTACATTTTAAATACAATTAACTAATGTAGTCAGGTATCAATGCTCTAAAATATTAAAGGTGCCATATTGCAACATAGGTCTTCTATTAGTCTATACAATATTCCACAATCATAAAAAACATCTTTAAATTAGGGCTGCACAATTTGGAAAAAATTACCTACTTGCAATTTTAAATGATGTTGCAATCGTGATATGGTTTTGCAACTTAAAGCGAATTACAAAATTACTTTTCGTTGAACATAAGCTTCAAAATTAAAGTTTTTGGCAAATCCATCCATTTCCCCTGTGCATTGCATTGTGGGACAGTTGTCAGACAGACAACAGCCTATACAAAATCAAGATTATTTATTTAACTGACATCTTTGAGACATATTGATTCTTATTTTTCTAGTGTAAGTCTACTGCCTTCTCGAAAGCTGGTTACAATGACAGTATGTGTCAAAGAGTTGGAACTCTATAATGAAGACACCGAGCCTTCCACACTTTGACAAATGAGATCCGATTTACAAACCCACTCTGCAGGGGAAGGTGGAGGCACAGGGAATCAGTGCTGGTATCGACTAACAGTAAATCTCAGTCCGACTGATTCCAGAACACTGATTTCTACGAAGCCCCCTAGGGGACATGGAGAAGAAAAAAAAATGTATTTGAAAAAAATAATAATAATAATGTTTTGCGAGATCTCGCAATACTTTTCATTTAGCTCAATGTACTTCCTGGTCAGTTCGGCTGCTACGGCAACACAGAAACCACAACAATGGAGCGGTTCATCGATTTTACTTTGAGCTTGGCCTTAAATATAAAGATATAACATCAGTGCTTGACAATAGGCACGGGTTTCACACATAGACTGTATATATAAAGGGTTTCACATAAGTGAAGACACCTCAAGAGAACACTCAGAGCGAGGGGACATGCACGTTCCTCTGAGCTGAGTTATTGACAGATTCGAATTTCGCGGAGCAATAACTCATGAACATAATGTTGTAAAAATACAAACAACATGACTTTACAATCGTAGCAAGGTAGACAACGAGCTACAGAGTCGTTTTTATCAGAACAGTTCGATACGCGCCGTCATCCGAGCTAAACATCAAGAATTGGTCACAATCTGTAGCTGGAGGAAGGAGAGGAGTGCTTAGGGACCGTCTACAAACTGCAACGGGGTTTTGCGAGATCTCGCAAAAGTATTGCGATATCTCACAAAGGTTTTGCGATATCTCGCAAAACATTTTTATTTTTATTCAAATAATTTTTTTTTCTTCTCCATGTCCCCTAGGGGGCTCCGTAGATTCCGCATGTAGTTCAAGTTCATTGCATTTAATAATTCAATGGGAGTTATTATTAAAGGGGCCCTAGTTTGCTCATTTACAGGTCCATTTGTGTTTTTTCCCCTCAACTTGCCTGTGCTGCAGCACCTCTTTTCACCCTCTGTCTGAAACCAGAGCCCAGTCTAACCTGGTTAGCTGGCCAGCTCTGTTTTGATTGGTCAACAACACCATAGCCTATCACGTACAATGTGTGGGATTTTAGCCTTTGCAGATCATTTACATGCACAAAAACCTATATAACACACTACAGGAAAGGACAAGCCCGAAAACCACAATAGGGCCCCTTTAAACAAATGTTAACCAGACATACTTTTTTCTTTCTACCAATCTATCCTGGATGGATGGGTGGAATAAATAAAGTCTCCCAAATGAAGAAATGGAAACACAATCCACTGCAACAGGTGGATTGACAGAGAGCCATAGAGAGAGGGGCAGCAGGAGAGTGGTGTTGACGCTAACACGGCTGATGTCTCTTTTATCTGAAGACAGTGGAGATGGTTGTGGACTTTAGGAAGAACGCAGCCCCACCCGCCCCCATCACTCATCAAAAAAGTTAGGATGTTCTTCCTGAGGCAGCTGAAGAAATCCAACCTGCCAAAGACAATGATGGTGAACTTCTACACCTCCATCATCGAGTCCATCCTCTCCTCCTCCATCACCATCTGGTCATCATCCGCTCTGAAGAGAGGGTGATTGGCTGCAATCTGCCATCGCGCTAATACCTGAACGCCTCCAGGACCCTGAGGCTCCCACCCTGAACACAAACTGTTCACCCCCCTCCCCTCTGGCAAGAGGCTACGCTCCATCAGGACCAAAACCTCTCTCCACCTGATCAGTTTCTTCCCCTCCTCTACCGGCCTCATCAACAAGGCCCGGCCCCCCCACTAACACTGACCCTCAGTCACATCATAGACTCTATGCATTACATTAATGCACACAATGTTAACAATAACTTGTTCAACCCAATTCTGTCATTCCTGCACAACCCTCCGAAGTCTGCACATTGCACATTGTAACTGCACATATTTTATTTTTATGGGTATACCTATATTTAATTCATATTCAATGTAAATATTTCTAGATTTTAATGTTATTCTAGTTTTCTTCAAATTGTTTTATCGCCGTTTTATATTTCTGTATGTATGTTTATGTATACACCAAAAACACCAAGACAAATTCTTCGAATGTGTTAACCACTTGGCAATAAACCCGTTTCTGATTCTGATGCTGAAGTAAATGTCCCATCAATGTTTCTACTACTACACTGAAGTGACTTAGAATGTTTGCAGTTCATTTTAAATGTGTTGAAAATTGACAAAAAGCCTCAACTCTTCATCCTGTGATTGTTTATGGTAATAAGCTATTAATTATCACTAGTAATCTTTAGTTAACATTGCTCCCAGTTTGTCGTTGTATATCATTCATCTTTCAGTTGACTGAGTAAATCATTTAACTGGCTCTATGTCTGTTAAGAGGACATAGCAAGAGCAGCACAGGTGATAGAAACGATGGCTCAGTTCCAACAAAATGTCCTGAGAGCCAGGGCAGTGAGTCAGCATGCAGTTCACCATCATTATGGATCTGGCTCACAAAGATTGTGCCATTACAAGTCAAAATGTCTGCAGTGTATGAAAAAGGTATATTGCAGGCACCTCAGTAAATTCAGAGGAGTGTTTAATCAGTCACACTTATCCCATCGCCTGGGGTTACTTGCAGTATCTTCCCTGTATTTCATAGCTGACATGGAGAGTGGTCCTCAGGTGGCAGGGAAACTGCACCGCTGTGAAAAATGACACAAACAACTCCTGGCAAAAAAAACTCCCGAAAATCTGCCCTCTGTCATCAGCCACATGCTGCACGGCTGCTCTGTGTTGCTCAGCTGCTCCTCAGTATTTGTTCAGGGGAGCTTTATCGGGGGTTAGTCAGTTTGACAGATTCCTGCCTGCCGGTTTATGTTCTGGGAGACTGCCAGCTCTCCTGTGGTTGTTTTTCTAATCCTACCTGCTTTCACATTGGAACAAATTACCAAGTAAATTGCCTTTTAACCATACCTGAGATTTGGTGCCTTCATTTAAGTTGAATCATCTGTTGCAAACTACCTAAGCTAACAGCCTGAAGGGTTAGTAAACACTGCAAATCATGTCTAATTTGCAAAAAAATTGTATTCACATAAATAGAAGCAGAAGACTAGAGTATTATACTTACAAAATACATTAAAAAATACTTAGTTGCAACTCATATTCAACATACCATACTATGTTTATTTCGATATTTCTGTATTACTGAAAAATGTTTATAGGATTTCTTGAAACTAGGTGGAAAGGTGTATAGTGGTCAAAGAAAGAACCTATTATGAAAGTGTATCAGAATCACAGGGCAGATAAACATTTATATTTTACTTTAATAACATTTCAAGATGGGGCTTTTGTGCTGCTTATCCTGACTGGGAGAATGAACTTGAACGCACCATCAAGTCAAGACACCTCTGAAGAAGGTATCAAAGTGTTGTTTAAACGATCTGAACAATAAAATACAGCACATCTTCTTTAGAGTGTTCATGTTGTTTCCACAGTACGACTTAAAGCTCATGAAATAACACATTTGGAAGAATGGTTTGCATACTGTTATAGAGAGATAGTAGTGCAAGGGCTTCCTCGACAAAAAAGAAATGGGATTTTTCTGTGGATTATTGCACAAAATAAGATCTCTGGCAAAAGCAAATGTAATATACTTGTGCATTCTGTTCAGCAGGAGAACCACCACATTTGAACACGACCTCTATAACAGTTGAGTAAATGCAATAGCTAGAAACAAATAGCAGACGTTAGGCTATGATGGAACTGCTTCACGGCTGCATGACTTCATGTTCCCACCGCTAAGCTAAAGGCCACCTGTGATCAGCCTGATGACGTCTATTAGTCTCATTTAGTCACTTGTTAGCAACAACCGTTTTATGATACAGCTTCGTACATTCACCAGTGGGGTAGTTACCGATGTCGTAGAACAAAACGAGAAAATCCTGTAAGCTTTTGTTAACCACAGACTATATTTTAGGCACCTAACAAAAAATAGTTGACTTGGAGACGAAGGAACTGTGTAAATGCTAACTCATTTCCAGGTTTCAGGACTCATTCCTGCACCACTCTACACCCTCCGAGGACTACGTGAAAGCACCATCGGCTTTGGCTTTTGACTCAAAGATGCTAACAAGTGACTATATAAGACTACTAAGCATCCATTTACAAGTTTCACGAATGGAACTTGTAATAACTTTTTTATTTGATATATTTTGTGCATGTCTTTTATCTACTGTTTACTTTGCTGTAACAATGTACACTTCCCCCTCTGATTCTGATCACACCAAACATTAGCCGCCTTGAGCTTAGCGGTGGTGAGATGAAATCATGTGACAATGATGTAGTTTGTTTATAGCCTAACATTAGCTACTTATTCTGTTTATTACGCTTACAAAATAATAATGTGTCTTTTAGAATCATAAATGCTTCTGTCTTGCAATTTTCCAAAATCCAATGGAAAAATGATATTGCTACCAAAAAACGTCATCACTGCTCCACTCAATAGGGTGTCAGTTGTAGTTGACATGTTATGCTATATGCTACCATATATGTACCATGTGATATAGAAGGAATATGAATAGAGTATCAAGAATATCAGCAGTACCATCTTTATGAGTTGGTCTCTCTCCTGGGAAATGTGCTCGGCCACAGAAATGACAGCTCCCATGTAATGCCGAGTCCTTTCCTCTTTCACCACACACTCTTCCTTCTGTCTGTTCAATACACTCATCTTCCTCTCAGCCTTCCTGGATGATGGAGAGATCGGAGAGAGAAGAAGATAAATGATCAAGCAGATTTCAAGGAAAATTATACGGAGAGAAAATATCAACGAGGAGGAAATGAAGATGGTAAAAGAAAAAAGGAGGACAAGGGAAGAGATTGAGAGAAAATGCATCAGGGGTTTTGGGAAAGAAACAGGACAGAATACAGAGTTGGGTGGATTATCTCTTGAGACGCTGCCATCTTGATGCGAGCGGGCTGCAGACATGTTGGTTAATCAAACACCTTCAAGTTTCACACTTCAGAATGAGAAAGTCCACATGATGATCAGCTCAGCTTTACAGGGAGGTGCCTGAGAACAGAACTCATTTTAGGACAAATGTAATCCTGGACCAAAATAAATCGTGTACTCCAGAAACATTTGAACTATGGTAGGACGTGCAATGATGTTGAAGAGCCACTCTTCATTTTCAGGGATTGGTCAACTACTTGGAGATGTCCCCCCCCCTTTGCCTATCACGTGCAGTGTGTTGGACCGCTAGGCTAGCCAATAGAAGCACAAGTGTTGTGCCATAGTGATGTCACAATGTCACTGAAGAAATAAAGCCACAAATATGTTACCTGTTAGCTTTTTTTTGCCCCAACGATTCACCTGTTTAAATATACTGGGAAAATAAGATAACCAACCGGACGGCAAGTTCATTTATTGTTAATTGTTTATAAGAAGATGGGAAAGAAGAAGTGGAAAAAATAATTGAAGCATCAACCATTCCAAAATGGAAAACAATAATGACATATTAGTTAAACATTAAACGGAACAGTGTCAGAAGGTTGGGAAACAAAGAGAAACAATTTCATGTAATATGGAGTACTCAGCATTCATTTAATGTGTGTGTGTGTGTGTGTGTGTGTGTGTGTGTGTGTGTGTGTGTGTGTGTGTGTGTGTGTGTGTGTGTGTGTGTGTGTGTGTGTGTGTGTGTGTGTGTGTGTGTGTGTGTGTCTTTAGGGGTGGGATTATCCACCATGACAACCGTTTTTCATCAGCATTTTGTTTTTGTTTCCATCTTTTTGTTTCTTGTTTTAATTTTATTTTTGGGAAAAAATAAAAATAATGTAACATGTTAAAAATATTGAATGTACGTTACTCATACCCAGACTCATTCAGTAAAAACATATCAATGACCTGTTAGCTTGCTTGGTGAGCTCCTGCTCTGCCTCCATTCTCTTTACATCAGCAGTCAGATTGGCTTTGTCCACAGCCAGACTCCTATTCTCCTCTTGCAGACTGGACAATCTGATAAGAAAGTCGTCCATCTCACTCTTATTCTTACTCTCCTGCTGCTCCAGTTGTCTGAGAGGTAAGGGCAAATTGTACAGCATATTTTAACAAAACATCACAGTGTACACTATCGAAATCAGTGCGTCCCATCACTATCAAATGCACAAGCCTACAGGGATTTTACAAGGCAAGTTTATTCAAGCAGCATGTTTCAACGCAAGACAATTCAAAGTGCTTTACAAAATATATTCAAACAAAGTGCATCAGAACTACATTGTACACTATGTGCCTCTACTGTGACATGTTTACATGCTTTAATGTCATACTGCCTGTGCTGCATAATTCAATGTATTATCCGTGGACTATTTTCTTCAATATCCCATAAAGTTCAAAGGTGTTCAATTCAAATCAATATTGAGAGGCTTTAGATAATGTTGGATCCACAAGCTTGCCACATATGGACAATAGAAAACATATGCAACTCAATTCAGTGTTTCAAGAAGTTATATTAGTATTGATAATAATCATCAACATCATTATTCATTTTGAATGTTTTTATCAAATGTTTCATTTTTATTTATAAAAACAAAACAGTTGTGAAGGAATAAGATGTAAATAATAATAATAATGTATTTTACAATTATTGTTATAATTATTATAAAATGAATGACAATAATGATTTAAATTATTTTAATGATTAATGTTGTTGTAATTATTGTTATTCGTTATTATTACTATTATTATTATAATCATTTACTCTTAATTTAGAAAAAAAAATGTTTGCCTATACTAAAAAAAAGTAAAGCGCAGGCATTTGGCATGTTTGGCGACAGCATAGAAGCAACATACAGCTCGAACATACAGCAAGAGAGAATGTGTGTCACCTACTTAAAATATGAAGTTCTTTCTTGTCCTTACTTCACGAAAAAACAGTGTCCCAGTTTATGAATCATTTAAAGAAAGACATTTTTGATCAAATAAGACATTGTAGTGGTACCGTCTGAGTTTCCCAGCAATGCCACAGTGTTCGTCCCAGGTGATGGCATCCTTCAGGCGGGCTTGCAGAACTTGTACCTCTCTCCCGTTTTTTAACGCCTCTCTCCTGCTCTCTTCCAGCTCTTCCTGCAAACTCTGCTTTTCTGCCTCTATCAACATCAGCTGCCTAGACACCTTGGAAACTACAGGGAGAGGATAAAGAGATGGAGGAGTAAAGTAAGTGCAAGTAACAGAAAAAAGCATAATGAAAATATGACGCATTGCTGTAGATGGAACTACCAAACTGTATATAAAAGACTTTCAATCAGCACAACCTTCCTTTCCTGTTGTGTGTTAAATTGCTTTTATTGCATAACATTCCAATGTTCCCTCCAGAGGCAGTTTATCTCCCACACACTCCCCCCCCCCCCCCTGCCTGAAACGCCTCCATTGGACTCCTTTGTTTACTTCTGTAACATAGTGACATCACTATTTAACACTCAAAAACCACTTAAAACATGGTACTTGATAGGCTAAGGGGTGGGACATCTCTACAAGGTTGACCAATCACAACAGAGCCGGCCAGCTAACCAATCAGAGCAGACTGGGCTCTGGTTTCAGACATTGAACATTAGAGCACGTAAACATGTCACAGTAGAGGCACAAAATACAAATATGAACCTGAAAATGAGGATAATAGGGCCCCTTTAAACAGCAGTAGAAGCTTCATACACATTAATGGAGCAATGATAGTAATCTAAACAAACATCATATATCATAGTGAAACAGCAGTAGTAGTTTACTTGAAGTATATTTGGATGAAACTTAAGTACTGATTCAGTAAGGTACTGAAAGCAGCATTTTTTGAATATAAGAGAAACATTGACATCATGTCCGCTCGCATTGAAATATTTCTTTGGCTGCGCATACACTAAGAACAACACTTGACAGAACCGTATACACTTAGAGGACGTCCTCTGCCATGGATTTAAATAAAACTAAATAATAGTAACAATAATAAGTGGGAAAAAACACATTTAGTCAAACCTATAGAACTGGTTCGGTATATGCACTGTTTTCCTAGACTCTCTGCCCATCACTATATTGAGACTGCTCAATGCTTCCTTTGCAAGATTTCTTAATAATTCAATTGTGTGGTATTTTGGCTCGCAGCCTAAAGTTCACAGGTGGGAGGACAGGTGCAAACAATTCGATGGGTTAGTTATAAAACAGTCGGTCCAGAGGAAGTTGTTGATCATTTGGTGGAAAATATGTTTTACTCATTGTCACTTAGCTACGACCAAGTAAACCACATACTTGGAGCAAATGCTAAGAACATTTTGTATGCAATATGAACTAGTGCAATATCCAAATCACAGTAATCATAATATATATGAAATCCTTATTTGGTACAGATCCTTTTAAAACATCTTACAATAGTTATTTCAATTTGTTTGTAATGATAAGGTGAACAGGTGATTTTTTTTTCAAAATTGTACTGTAGTTTAAGGCAAAAAACTATTGCACATAAAATGTTAAATTAAAGAGGCCCTATTATGCTAATTTTCATGTTCATATATGTTGTGCCTCTACTGCAGTGTTTCTCAAAGTGAGGCATGACATCAAAAAGTATTGATTCGAAAATAATATGATACAGTACAGTACTAGTACGTCTGGGACTCTGTTTCATTCAAGCCCGGCTCTCTCTCTGCTGGTGTGTGTGTGGGTGTGGTGTGTGTGTGTGTGTGTGTGTGTGTGTGTGTGTGTGTGTGTGTGTGTGTGTGTGTGTGTGTGTGTGTGTGTGTGTGTGTGTGTGTGTGTGTGTGGGTGTGTGTGTGTGTGTGTGTGTGTGTGTTGTGGTGTGTGTGTGTGTGTGTGTGTGTGTGGAACAAGCCATTTTGTGTGTGTGCGTGCGCGCGAGAGAGATACCTCATTCACACCAACGGTGTTTCGGGGCCAGTTCGGAGCTGGAGCTTGAAAAGCACCGGGTTTTCCTCTTCACACCGCAGCAGAGAAGCCTCTTACAGTAGCTCCGGAATCCGGTTCGTTTCAAGCACCAAAAAATTGTCTGGCCAGAGCAAAAGCACCACATACGTCACGCTTACGTCGAGGCGGGGGCAGGGGCGGGATCAACTCCTGAACAACAACAACAAAAAGCCGGCGTTGTATCCAGTTTGTACACAACGATGGAGAAACTTAACAAGCAGCAGTGGTCCACTGAAGAGACCAGCTACCTACTGGGAATCTGGTCTTCCGAAGAGGTACAGAGTGAAGCTGGAGCACAATCGGCCATTGTTGTTGTTGTCGGTGTCAGCTGTGAGGGGTTTCCGGGGCGCGGTTTGGCTTTATGAAGCAGGCACGCAAACAATGACGCAGCACCAGTCGGACTCTGGGCGGTGTGAAAAGAGCCTCCGCTAAACCGAAGAACCGGTTCTGAACCTGAAAAGCTCTAGCACGGAGCTTGAACCGGAGTTGCGTTGGTGTGAATGAGGTAAGAGAGAGAGAGAGAGAGAGAGAGAGAGAGAGAGAGAGAGAGAGAGAGAGGTATGAAATACTATATGACATGTAGTAAAAAAAAGAATAAAGTTTAAAAGGAGAGTGATTTGTAAAATATCCATAAAGAAATAGTAAATCTGTTTACAGTTCTGTTTCAAATGGGTGATGGGAGATGTATCCATAGATCTCTTAATTTTGCTCTCAAAGTGAAGTGAAAGTGAAACAGATTGATGTTTTTAACTTCAGTATTTA